TGATCAAGTGTTAAAATTAAAGGATCCGTGCATGCAAAGTCTACAGTTAAAATACAATTACTATAAAACATAGAAATTACAGATATTTTTAGACTGGTTTAAAATCTTAGTTACAAAGCTGTTATGCCTCTGAATTTCTGAAGAATAAATTGGCCTTTTTTTTTTTTTTTTAGTTACTGGGTATTGGTGTGATTTAATAAGAACCAAATAGCTTTTTAGTCTGTTGTGACAGACATTTGTGTGACAAATGTCTGAAGAAGACAAGAGCAGAAAAGCAATTATATTCAGGGCTTACTGAGAATCTCTTTGTTTAAATACACTGTGAGGTTGGTCAGTGGCTAGTTACCACAACGTTTTTCACATTTGCTTGTGCATGTAATCTCACAACTGGAATTTTTCAAGTGTGTTTTGAAATTTTATTTTTTGTTTAGCTGCTGAAAATTGGAAATTTCGTTTAGTTTTTGAAAATTGGCCGGTTAAAGTAGATCATGTGCAGGTGACAAGGCAGTGTGATCTGTGTAGCGCTTCGACTGAGAGTAACAGTTTATTTCTGAGCAGGAGGGGGCACTGTTTAAAAGGACAACATTGTTTTCAAATCAAAGCACTTTTTCCCATCTTTTCTGAAAGCCTCTGAAGGCAATATGTCTCGAAAGAATTTTGTAGTTTATTTTTGAACGATGGAAGCTACTCCTCTCAAGTTTCTGCCCCATCCCCTTGCTGTGCTAATTTGAGTGAATTGTGCTTACTCTCCTCTGGTGTACAGGTTTTACCAAAGATAGTGTTCCTCAGTTTTTTTTTGTCTCTTCCTTTTCTAGGAAGTAATACTTTGTATCGTGTGCAGGTTGCTTTGTATGTTGCTCATGACATTACAAAGTCTCGTTTCAGTATTTTATTTTCTGTTATTTCATTTCTTAAAATATGGATGCGATGCTTATTTTCCTGCCTTTTAAAGAAATGTTATTGCTGTAAAGACTTTTTCGTGTATTTATGCATGAAAGAAAATGAATACATAAAGATAGTCATAGAAGATCTTAGAAATAATCTTAGTTCGACCAAAAGAAACTATGAAGCAAAGATTTTTGGGATTGGTATTTTTATTAATGTGTTACTGTATTAATGTGTTACTGTAACAGATTCTTGAGGATTTGCAGTCTCTACCACAAAGAACTTAGTTTTAACTCTGAGTTTACAAATACTTTGACTCTACCAAACTGTTAATTTGTTTGCTGGCAAACGATATTGTTGTAAAAAGGCAAGAATTAGGTGGAAAGAATGGCAAAAGTTTGATAGAAGAAGTGTTGTGTGTCACCAGAGTTTCATATGGGTCTGAATCTGCAATTGTTGTATACGTAGCTTTTATTTAATGTACATAAAGTCCTTAGGATCCATAAATTAACACTTTTCTTCACAAATAATAAGTAAATCTTATGTGTCTCTTGAGTGATTCTGATGGATCTGTGATAAGGAAAGTAGTTCTTCACCTGTCTACATAAAAGTGAATAACAAGTCAAAAGAACCAGTATTTGGTGCTTCCCAATACATCGTGTTTTGTACTGCTAATTTGTAGCGGCTTCTCCTGAGAAGACGTAATGGTATAGTTTTGATGCGTATCCTACTTCGTCTCTAGTGTTTTCACAACAGGAAAGAAAAGCCAACTGCAGTGTGCTTTGCTGGGCAAAGGCTAGCCAAACTGTTCTTCAGATCCTCTAGTTTGTGAACTGACTGTGGTAAGATGCAGAACTGCCTTGGATTAGGTGCGGTTTGTGGACTTCCTCTTACCAAATTTTTCTGGCCTATAAAATTGAAGTGTCTGTGTCTTCATACCCACTCCTGCTCCTTACGATTGATGTTCTTGTGGTTTCTAGATGGTTGTAGTCTGGATATAATTACTTGGTACAAATTCATAGATTACCTGCTGACAAAATGAGAGCTTCTAATTAAAAAAAATGGTGTGCATTTCATAATACTGTATAATTTGGCAAAAGTAACTTCTTGATACTGTGAATTATTTATTGATAGCATACAAGTTGTGTTCAGAAGCTGACTGAAGCAGTGGTTGCAGTTGTCACTAGATAATAGCAACTATAGAAATGGTCTTGATCATTGATCTGCTCAAAAGTGAGTAAATTCTGTGACCCAAAATTACTAAAAAGAGGATTTTTTTGTTTGTTATTTAAAAAAGGCAAAATGACCTTAAAACTAGGCACAACAAATTGGAGGGGAGGCGGGGAGCACAAAAAAGGCCTGCATAGCAAAATGCATAGGCTGGTTGAGCCAAATAGCTAATGCAAGCAGGATGATGTGCAGAATGAAATTGGAATTAGGACAATTAACTGAGAATTTAAAAAGTTATGACAGTCTTTTAAATATATTAAAAGCAGCAATAATTTGGAGAATGAGGAAATTAAGGAAGCTGGAAACTGCAAAAAAGAAGATTGATATCTTGGTACCAGTCTTCAGTAAAAGATGTTTATAGAGAAATTTTCAACAGATGTATTGTTTTCTAATAATTGAAAATTCTGCACTGTTGGAGACTGGTATGTCAAAAGAGACATTGTCAGAACAAACTGGGTGTCGTGCTTCCAGTAGTCCTTAACGTGATTTAAGAACAAGGAGGCAGGTCTGGAAAACTGAAAGTTATACCTCTCTTAAGTAAACACAAAAATCACAGGGTTGCAAGCCTTGAGGTATGAACTTCAGTGCTGACAGTGATTGAATGAAGCATTTGGAGGGGGGGAAAAAGAAGCTTCTACCTGAGCTTGATTTGATAAGAGTAGAGCCTTCCAGCATTGGAAAAGAAAATCAAGCCTCTCCAATTTGTTAGTTTTTACATTATGCAGTTGGAAGATGGACAGATTAAAGACTTACTTTGTCATTTTCTTGGTAGCTTGAAGTTGTCTGTGAGTAGGCAGTTAAGAGAAGTTAGTAATTGGGATCTAGAGATAAAATAGTCTGAGAACAGTTTTTCAGGAGTTGAGTAGCAAACTGGATTTGTGGAGACAAATCATTATTGGTACAATATAATTACCTATCTATAACAGGGTAATAAACCTTGTGCTGTATATTTTGACTGTAGTAAAGTTTTTTACACTTTTGAGTAATGCTTTCCTAGACAAGCTAGGGAAACGTGATGTATAAGAAATAATAAAAAAATTGTTCAAGAGTGATCAGAAATTCCCTGATATCTTGGCTCTCATGTTATGTAAAGACAAACTATTGGTATTTCATGATTGACATGGAAGGCAATACTTCAGAACTGATGTTGCTGGATATTCTTTTTCTCAAATTAAGTGATGGACTAGAATGTAGATGAGCCCCAAATCATCATGTGATCATGAGCTAAAGGGCATTTGTTGTGAGTTTTAAAGTTGAGGGGCAGGGGGAATCTGGAGCTGGTTTACAGATAGAAGACATCACTTTCTTTACAGCCTTGTACTCTCCTTTAAAACGGTTTCTGGGGGTGTGGCTGACTCTTGGAAGAGTCATGGAGGGCTGGCCTCAGCAACTCTCTCAGGTTTTTCTTCCCAAAGCCAGGGATTTAAAGCATTCCCAACAGTCCCTGTGCCAGGACAGCCCTGTGGGCAGTCATGAGATGAACTCCTGGTGTAAAAGCTGCACTTTAATGACCTGAGAGCTCCCTGCAAAGCTGGAAGGGAGTAAATCTATGCAGCAAGATTAGAATAAAAATGACCTTGACCGACTTGTGTACACAAATAAAAGAGCAAGGGTAGAATTAAAGGTTGGAGCAAGTCAAAGGTACTGTGCTTATCAGAAATCATCAAGTCCTTTTAATGTAGTATGGGGAACACTGGGTTAGAGAAGGGTTCTCAGAAGACTTGGTGATGATGGTGGGGCATGGTCGAAGTTGAGCACAAGTCAATGATGTCATATTGTTAGATGAAAGACTAGTATCATACTGGATTATATAAAGACGAATATGGCCTAAATGACTGCTTCTCTGCCCTGCTCCACATTGGTAAGGTCTCAGTTGGAAGGCTAAGTCTGCTTCTGGGTACCGTATTTCAAAAATTATGTGGACAACTGAAGAGAGTTGGGAGAAGAACAATCTACAGGTGAAAAACATTGCATATGAAACATAGCTTGGAAATCTCAGGTTTTTTCCTGAAAAAAAAAAAAAGGTGCTATGATCAGAAGGAACTGTTGTGGCTATCTAACCATCTCTTCCTAAAGCATTCTGTACATCTTCACATAGCAATTCTTAAATGAACATCCTGATAGTATGTGAAAGCATTAAAAAAAAAAAAAATCCTTGCTTAATGTGTAGAAGTAGCCAAAATGCTACTTGATATTCAGAGAATGAGAGTGTTAGGAAAAGCA